TCGGGTCGACATTCCCTGATATGACGTCTGCGCGCTAGTCCGGCCTCTTAGCTTCATCCTTTGCCGCCGATGTCCCCTTTGTTCGCGCATGATGTACCGCTGCATTATCACTTTCGTTCTGCAGTAAGTTACTCGCCTGGCACTAGTCGCATGCTAGCCAGCGTAGTAAGGGTCATAATGACAGAGTGCGCTATTGTTCTTGTCGTCTCTCTTTGGTCCCGAGTGCTTCTTAAGACCGTGCTTATCGGAAGAGCCGAACTTGCCCAGAGGAACACGTCGTTAGTGACTTAGCTACGACCAAAATGTTCTAGGATATTCTCGTCAACTTTCAGCTGATGATAAGGCGGCTTCGTGGCGCAAATGTTCCCAGCGGTACGATGCGTACTTGGGGCCCTCAGTCTCCTGGCCGTGCTGGCGTTATCGCCAATATATTATACTTAGAAGTTGGCCGCATGTACAGTGGGTGCTCGACTGAACTAAGCCCATACTACTACGACATTCTAATCCAAAGTTTCCCGTCCATGTAAGAGAGGTCGCCAGTATCCCAATGAGCTACAAACAAAGCAGACCCGCTATAAAACCTGCCGAAAGAGAAAGAGAGTCAGCTTAGGCACCGCCCTTGCTGCCCTTGCCACCGGTCGCGCTCCCACTCTTGCTCACTCCACCATTGCCTCCCCGTGCACTCCCCACGAACACATCGCTGCCATTCGTGTACACAGACCCGCCATTCGCTGACCCAGAGCTGCCAGATACAGCCATGCCACCGGTCGCGCCGTTGCCGCCGAGTCCAGAGAAGATCTCATTGCTGCTCCCGCCATTGCCACCACTGCCACCAGTCATCCTCCCTGTGATACTGAACCCGCCATTCCCACCCTTGGCTGTGCCTGGCAGTCAGTAACAGTACATGGTGTTGTGGTCACAAGCAGAGATGCTTACCAGATTTAACGAGGATGTCGCTTCCCAACGTGTGCACCGACCCGCCGTTCGCGCTTCCAGAGTTGCCTGACTGGGCCTTTGCGCCGGTGCCGCCGTTGCCAGCGAGGATGCCGTTGCCGCTATTGCCGCCGTTACCGCCCTGGGCGGATCCCGAGGCAGAGACACCACCGTTACCGCCCTTGGCTGCATGCGTCGATTAGCACCGATGGCACTCCGCGAGTCTGGATGGGGTGCACTTACTGGAGCCGACGGCGACGACGCCGTATCCTGGGCCGGTGGTGTAGACGGAGCCGCTATTGGCAGAGCCCGACTTGCCGCTGATAGCGCTGCCGCCGTTACCGCCTTGGCCGGCAGTGAAGGGGAGGAAGTTCCCTGGAGCGGGGGCCGGAGCCGCGACGATGCTGCCGACGACGGCGAGGATGGCGAGAGCGACGAAAGACGAGCGCGTTGTAGTGATAATGCGAGTAGTGAAAGAGAAAAGCTGCAGAGGCGAGTGCACGGAGGCTTACAGTAGGCAGAGCCTTTGTACCTTTTCGACCATTGCATCTCCTGGCCCTTTGCGGTCACTATGTCTAGACAGGGGTACAATGGCATTGCTTTGCACCTCAATGGCGCACTGAACTGAGAGAACTCACGAAACAGGGGGCTTTGCTCGCCGTCCGGACCTTTCAGTATTCCCGATAGGTTCGCGGTATTTCTTAGTGCTTGAATCTCGCCAGTTCTTAAGGTTGCTTTATGTTTCACTATGAGATCGGGGTAACCAGGCAACTGGCTTCTACTCGTTCGTTCGATATCCCGTAGGACATTCTGGGGGCACTCGTGCCTAATCGACTTTCAACAGCCAGAAGAGTACCTTCCGAGCTGAACCTTACAATACTGATGATCGCCGGCCTTGGGACGCCTGGACCGACCCGCAGGTAAGCCCACTGATGACGCGGGACATCTTCACTGTGAAGCCCGCGCCTGCTTCACTGCCGTGAGGATCCATTAGTAGCCTAGGGACAGTGTCAGCGCTGTGCGAGTAAGATGGTCTAGATCCGCCTACCGTCGCCACCAAATCTTGGCCATGGTAGATACTTGATATCCGCCGGTCGAAATCATTTGCAACTTGTCGATTGGTCGCCCACAACATCTGATCACGTCGTGTTGTAGAGCTTTGGATTTCTGGCAGGAAAAAAGTCGCGTGCGCGGTATTTAGTGCTGAATTTGCCTGTCTGAGCTCAGCCTCGTCAGTGAAGCTCACGTCATGTGCGAATCAAGCTTATGGCCTCATCAGAATACACTGCTCTGGTAACGTCTGACGCTTCACCTGCAGCCGTAGCTGCAGCACTCGGTCTTCGATGAGGCCTTGTTATGGTACATGTGCCACGCACCGAAGCGCTGCAGAGGACGACTTCACACTTCGAATGAGATGTGGTAGAACCGAGTCTTGCAAGCCTAAAAGTAAATCTTCCATTTTTTGCAGGATGAGGCACATGAAGACCAGAGAAAGTACGCTTCAATGGTCGCTCTATGAGGCCTTAGGCATCCGGTAGCTTTACAAAAGCCCTAGAACACATGGTTACAAGGGCCAGTCCTCGTCAAAAATGTCAAAGCCGAGGCCCCAGCTCTTCGAAGGATTGAAGGTACGTTGTGGAGGGTGCACAGTAGCAGCAGCTTCAAGCTTGTCGAAGAGATCATCAGGCAGGGCGAAGATCTTGATGTTCTCGTCGATACGAGAAGGAGTGACGCTCTTAGGGAGAACAACGGTCTGTTTCGATACATGTTAGGCTTAGATATATACACATAACCGACGAGAATGACGTACGCCGCGTTGGACGTGCCATGAGATGACTACTTGAGCGGGCGTTATGTTGAGCTTCTGCGCAATTTCCTTAACCTCGGGCACGTCGAGTGTCTCCTTCACCTGGTTGTTGCCTCCGAGCGGCGAGTATGACTCGAGCAGAAGCCCATGCTTGCGTGCCCACTCGACCAGCTCGGGCTGCGGGCTCCAAAAGTTAAGCTCCACTTGGTTCACGGCCGGTTTGTACTTGAGCGGGTTGGCGGTCAAGTTCACGACTCTGGCGGGAAGTTAACGTATATCACAACGGCATGTGTCGCAGGGGGCATACCTGGCGATGTTGAAGCTGCACACACATAAGTCTTCAAAGAATATGCGAGAAGCGCACGAATATTCACTTGCTGATGCCTATGTTGCGGACCTTGCCTTTGTCGACCATCTCTTCCAGCTTCTTCCATGTGGGGTACGGATCCGCAGTCAGGGCAACATCCAGCTCGTTGTTGCTGCCTTTCTTGAACGCAATGGGCCTGCGAGTATTGTTGGCGCGTGTCAGGTCGTGTACGGTACATACGGGAGCCTACCAGTGCATGAGATACAGATCGAGATATTCTGTGCCAAGCCTGGTCAGGGATTCGTCGAGAGCTGGCTCAACATCTACTGGAGCGTGAAAAGTGTTCCAAAGCTTTGAGGTAAGCCAAATTTGGTCGCGAGGGATACCGCTGTTCTTGATAGCCTTCCCGATCTCTTCTTCATTCTGCGCTACTTGTTAATGATACGGACTCTTCGCACGAAGAGCACGACGCACCCGATATGTCCAGGCGCCATCGATGTGTCTGTACCCAGCCTTCAAAGCGGCGGCAACGGCTTGTCCAGCATCGCCAGGACTTGCCTTCCAAACGCCTGACAAGTTGAGAGCTTAGCAGACCGATCCCGGATAGCCCACCGTCCCATACCGAGCGCGACCGAAGGAATCTGGTGGCCTGAGGGCAGTAAGTAGTGGCTAGGAAGTTTAGTGCTATAGTTCCTCTGTAGCCCACTGCACGGTTGCTTGTGTAGCCATTGCGCGGTGGACCCGACATAGGTCTTGAGACCCTTGAAGCCTGCTAGCATGACGGCGAAAATAATGAGGAAGTGAAATAGGATCTTCTTGACGCGATTGTGATGGAGCCGCGTTCCTAGCTGCTGCCGGGCCTTATCGTCGTCGCTCACGGCGAGCGGCTGGTACTGAGCCCGAGGCATAGTCGTTACTGGGAAAGACGAGAAAACGGAGCAGCGCGTACATTTCGAGTAGAGACGCCCGTGGCTTCCATCATACCTTCATCCACACCCACAATATTCTGCGCATAAATCCCTTGTCCTGCACCCTGCAATATCGCTGTCGGCCAGCAATTTTAGTCAAGGTGATTGGACGACGTCCGAGGTCTGCAAGGTTCAGAATGCAGTATATATGCGGCAAAGCGGTCGTTACCTTCAGAGCTCTCCCAGCTTCGAACTTTACGTGCGAACATCCCGGTCGCATTCCCATGCAGAGTAGCCTAGGTTTGTTTCCGAACATAGTGGCTATTGGAGAGAACTGTGTCGAAGTCGTTGAGAACAAAGGTTACTGCTGATACATTCCGGTAGATCTACCACCAGCTGAAACACAGATCCTGCACTCGTGAGTTGCAGGGGTTAGGGTTTCTATACCGCCGACGCCGCTACTCACCAGGCGAAATGCTGGAATACTCACCCGCAGTACCAACCGCCGTGTGTGTGGGCAGTGCATCAGAAATACAGCTTTGCAATATTGTAACGCAGACCCTACACATAGCCGAAAACGGCCCAGGATGCATTGCGTTAAAAGAACTCCTCCTTTTCTAGATGTCGTCTCTCTGGTGCATCTAGTACGCCATACATGTGATCGTAGCCTAGTTCTCTGCAGCACTTAAGTGCCCGGCTCCCGCTAGGGTTTCTCCTGTTATACGTTTGACTCACCATGGTCCCATGAGGATAATTACTTAGTATTTTACCGTGGTAGGCTCACTAGTAGAGGCCATATCTTCTGAGCTATTCATCGAGTCCTTTTTGACCAGGGAACCAATGAAGTGAGTTAAGCAAGCACTGTCTAAAAGCAGGGGCCTAAGGATAGAAAAGGGCGAGTCACATTAGCCGCGCCGATTCTTGAGTAAAGGCACCTCCGCAATGTAGTTCCGTGGGATTGCTGAGACATTCCGAGCGTATATCTGCGTTGTGTAGACCAATTCGTCGTAAACAATAGCCGGGACCTTCTTGTCGCAAAGTGACGACCCAGGATGGATTTTCACGATCTAAGGAGGTTCTCAGCATGGTAGTTCCTTCGCAGCTAACAACGGCACACGCACTGAATGGCCAATGACCTGCTTGTACCGCCCATCTGGTTGCAAGAACGCGGTGTTCTGCACGAGCCCCCTGACAAGGCTGCGCAGCACAGCTTGTTCCTCGCCGACCTTGTCTCCACAGCTCGTCCGCCAGTCAATCTTCTGGTGCTCGCAGTACTCGCGTAGCTGCGTGCGGATCTCGAAGGCCTCCGTGAGGCAGCGGTGGCTGACGTAGTTGCGTACACACCAGTCTTTGAGCGCAGCCTTGCTCGCCTTCTTGCCGTCTGCGCCGCCCTCGCTCTGGAGCACCTCTTCGTACGCACGCACAACGTTCAGGACCGTGAGGTGGTCGCTGCTGAGGTGACGAAACTTGGTGTGCGCCTCGCGCGCGCTGTCGCGGCTGTCGGTCGTGTCGACAAAAAGCTTCGAGGACGAGCTGAGCACGGAGACGATCGTAAGCACTTCACTGGTACAGCCGAACTCGACAGATGCGATCACCGCGCGGGACAGGGGTGGTTCGAGAGGGAAGAACGCCATTCGTCTACCGAGATAGGTAAGATTCTTTCGGTCGTCGAGCGCGCTGAGGAGATATAGTGCCGTCAGTGCTTGTGCAACTGCGCGAGATCATGAGATGTCGGTTTATACAAGGATGGATCGGAGACTTACTGCCTTCTTCGTCTGGGCTTTCCATGAACTCCATGTCCTCTAGATCTTGCCCTAGACACTTGAGTTGGAGCATGCTCGCCGTTAATGAGCATCTCTGAATCTCGGGCTCTGCGCTCAAAGGCAGAGCGTCGAAAGCATCCTCCGTGTACAGGCGAAAACAGCTTCCTGAGGCCTCGCGACCGGCGCGACCGGTCCTTTGCCATGCTGAACTCTTGGTGATGTCCCGGGTCAGCAGCGTGTCGAACCCTCCACCAACGCCTCGTCCGACCCACCGCTTCTCCTTGCACTTCCCAGAATCGATGACGTACCGCACGCCAGGGGATAGTCACGGACGTCTCAGCAATGTTCGTCGCGAGGATAACCTTCCGCATGTGTTTTGGTGCAGGGACAAAGATCTGCTGCTGCTGTAATGATGACAACGACGCGTATAGTGGGCATGTGAGTATCCCTGGCGTATCTTGTGGTAGTCGCTTGGCATAAAGCTGTATCGACTTGTCCAGGCTTTCGATGTCTTCTTGACCAGGTAGAAAGACTAATATGTCACCTGCGGGTTGGTCCGTGTGTATTTGGAAAACAGTTCGCAAGGCAGCGTCGACGTAGTCGGGTTGTGGTGTTGCGGCGTGATATATTGTAACTGGGTGCTGCCTACCCTGGACATAGAGGATCTTCGCGCTAACTTCTCATGAGTGACACCTTCCAAGCACGAAATGCCGACACGCACTTGCCGAAAAAAGAGCTGAACTTCTCTGCGTCGAGGGTAGCACTCATGATAACAACCTTGAGTGGATTCTTCGGTGCTCTTTCCTTTCCCTTTCCCTTGCCCTCCGTAAGAACCGTGTTTCGCTTCTTCAAGATCCCTTTCAGGCGCGCAAGTAAGACATCAGTCCGTAGAGTCCTTTCGTGTGCTTCGTCGATAATCACGACGCTGTACCGCTCCAGCTCCGAGTCGCTCATGAGTTCTCTGACGAGCATGCCGTCCGTAACAAACTTGATTTTGGTCTTATCCGAGGAGAGGTCAGCAAAACGGACAGAATATCCGACGAGACTGCCCAGCTGCGACTGTGTTTCGACGGACACTCGGGAAGCGAGAGACGTTGCTGCTACTCGGCGTGGTTGAGTGACCGCTATCATGCCGTTGCGCGCAAGACCCGATTCGAGGAGGTACTGAGGAATTTCTAGAAACGGTATGAGAGGAAAGGGGACGTGCGGTACGCGGTTATGACCTACGAGTCGTCTTTCCTGAGCCTGTTTCACCCACTAGCACGGTGACATCGTTGTCCCGCATTTCCTGGATGATAGCGTCTCTGCCTGCTCGGACATGCAACAATTAGTCCAATTGACCATAGATGCAACTAATAGCATGCGCACCTTGGGCAATGGGTAACTGTTTCCGCTGTTCCTGAACCGCAGCGTGCTTGCTGCTCGAGGGGCCTGCGCTTGCTATCTTCTGCTTCTTTGTCGGGCGAGGGCTTTGTGCATCAAACTTGAGCGACTTGAGCGCCTCAGCGCTGTTGATCCTGGTGCCATGGTTCTCGTCGTCGGAATCATCCATCCACGCTATACGCGGCCGTTTCGCAGGTTTTTCAGAGGTCCCATTGGGCGCGACGGCTCGAGGCTTGACTTTTCGCCATCTGAGACTGAGCTACGTCCCGTAAATATTTTGTGTAGAACTGCCAAAAGTAGGAGAACATACCGGCAGGCGGTACAGAGAGGCGAGAGGAGGGTGAGCGTGCACGTCCACGGTCAGGAATTTTCGGTGAAGGCTCTGCGATTGGTCCGCGGCTCCGGAAGCAAACCTGCAAACCCTAACCTCATTATTTGCGGCGCCTACGCGAGAAGAATTCGCTGAGCGCCCACGGTGCTCTTGATAATTTCCTCGCACGACTTACTCGTGCATATCACCATGGCCCAGTCTTCGCGGCCTCCAGAACTCAGCCAGGAGGTTTTTGATACATACAATACGGAGCTACAAAGTGCAGCTCTGAAAGCGACGCGGAACGCTGCCTTCCTGCCTCAAGACCTCGCGTTCTATCGTTCGCTTGACCGCGGCATCGCGAAAGAGGTCGATGCCTGCTCTTCGAAAGTCCTCTCTCTGGCAAATCGGCTGCTAGACCTTGTGTCCACTGCGGACAATGCGAAATCAAAATCCAAAGGGAAGGGGAAACTGGAGCACGATGATGTTACGGACAATTTCCGTTCGTCCGTCGTGGATGCGATGGACCAGAAGACGATATCGCTCTCTGCACCGTGCAACACCTGAGAGCGTATCTGAGCTCCGGACTCGAAATAATAAACAGGTCTAAACCCTACCTTGACAATGTTTGGATTCGTGAAGACCTCGTTCAACTCTTCGAGCTCTTCCCTGACAACCAGAGTGTCGACGACAAAGTCCTCGTCCCTCGTGCTGATCTGCATGAGGCACACAAATCCGTAAAACGACCGGTAGCTGTGGTACTCCAGATCAATCGCAATCTCTTGTGCGGACCGTAGCTTCTCCAGCATGGCGGAGAGCGTCGAAGTATCCGTAACCCAAGTGAACGGCGTCTCTTCAAACGATCTTGGCGGTGTCGGGTCCGTAGAGCGGAACATGTGGGATGAATACTCAATGTGTTTGATTTCATGCCGATACGGATGCCTACAGATACAAGTGAAGTCGTACGCAAAGGGATTCCGGAAGATGGGCTAACATACAAGCTGCTAAAGGCACTGTCATCACCATCATTGTGCATATCGTACCCTAGAGGGACTTTCGCGTTATATTTGTGCCGGAGGCTGGGCTGCCAGGGTGCGGTGTTCGTGTTGTCCACTTTTCGCTTAAACTTCAGCTGCGGCTTGGGAAGGTGCGAAGCATGTTGTAGCGCGGGATCCAGGCGACCTGAAGCAGTGATGTTGCTCTTTTGTGTCTGCTGTCGTATAAGCATACATGTGAAACAGGGCATGGTTGAGCGATACCTTCTGCTTGACAGGCTTAGGGTTCAAAGCGATCGCGGGCTGCTTAACAAGACCCAAAAATTCATCCAAGCAGATGTCCTAATCCATATGGTATAAGCTAGACCACGGTAGCGCGAGTCACAGAATACCCACAGCCCGCTCCAGCAGGCTTCAGCAAGACTTCAACCTCTACATTGTCAACCTTTTCGACACCTACCACGCGTCGAAAGTGCTTGACTTTCCAAGACACAGCCTCGCGACGCTCATGGAGATGTATTGTGACTTTACGCCTGATAAGCGTTACCAGCTCGCGGACTGGCGGATACGGTGCGTCCCATCTTATGACGCCTGTCGGCCACAATTAAACTATCCATAGACCGCTCCCAGTGGAGATGCTCAACTACGCTCGGTCGGACACGCACTTCCTGCTGTTCATCTACGACCATCTGCGGAACGCACTGCTCGATCGCGCACAATCGCGGGCGCAAAGCCCGTCCACCGCTTCAGAGCCCGCGCCGAGCACGTCGAGCGCCGTCAACCCGTCTCATGCGCTGGTGCGCGAGGTGTTGTCGCGCTCGGAGGAGACGGCGCTGCGCGTGCTCGAGCGCGAGGTGTACGACGCCGAGGGCGGCTCGGGCCCGGCAGGCTGGGACACGCTGGCGCGCAAGTGGAACAAGGGCGCGCTCATGGCAGGCGAGCGCGAGACCGTGCGGAGGCGGATCTACAAGGCGGTGCACGCGTGGCGGGACCGTGCTGCGCGAGAGGAGGACGAGAGCACGCGGTACGTTCTCGTACCGGTTGCGCTTGAGAAATGCTGACGGGGCGGTATTTTTCGCAGGTATGTCTTGCCGAATCATTACCTGTTCGTGCTCGCAGAGCAGCCGCCTGCGGACATTGCAGGGCTGCTGTCGTTGTTTCAGCACGTCCCGCCTGTCGTGCGGCGACGTGCAAAGGAGCTGTTTGAGGCAATACGACAAGCCGCCGCCGTAAGCAGCGAAGAAAGTGTAGTGCCTACGCCCACCGCTCCACAGGCTCCCCAGGAACCGATACAGGTCGATGACGCGAGCTCAACACAAACCGGCGAGACACTTCCCACCGATAAGGCATCCATGCTATGGTCTTCAGGTGGGTGACCGCCCCTGTATCACGCGAGCCATTTTTATCCTGATGGGTCGATGTATTTCCCAGGGACTGCGCAGAGAATGACGGTGTCATCTTCCTTGTTTGGAAACACGATTAAGAGTGTCACCAAGGCCACGGGACCGGCGCACTTGACAGCTTCTCGAAGCAGCCTGTTCACAATCAATGGATCGTCGAGCGTGAGTAAAAGCAAGTGGTGGTCGTGTGCCGCACGCTCATGGGCAATGTAGGCAGCGGAGCTGCACAGAAAGCGGCTCCAGGACGTCGTATCGCGCATACATGGCTCGCTCGCTATCGCTCCATCCGTTCCAAAGATCGTGGCACCCGCAGCAGCCGCCGTAGCCGAGCAAGCGGAGGAAGTGCCCGGGCAGGTGGAGATGCCTTTTGTGCCGGCGAGCGAGCGCCAGGAGACAGCGCGGACGGTCACCGCGGAGACGGCGAAGGATTCTATTGTCGTCGTGGGCCAGTCGCAGCGCAAGAAGCGGAAACGGGTCGCGGCTGTCAATGTCGAGAGGGAAGGCGAGGTGGAGGAGACGTTCGACTACTCGACGGTCTCGAACATCCTCGACGAGGGATCTGACCACGAGCCCGAAGCTGTAGGCGGCGGTCGCAAGCGCAGGCAGAAGACGCAGGGTGCGCATTTTTTATTGTCCATTCGGTCGTCTCAGCCCGTCTAACCTTTGTTCGATACTGCCAGGCCGCTTCGACTATGGCGGCTTCCGCGCGCCACCCAAGGCGCACAGCGAAGTCAAGTCTGGAAACCAGTCGCGTACGTTCAAGTAGCGGTCCGTCCGTCGCCAGCGTGACTTGCGTCCGTGCGCGGCGCCGGAAACCGCAGCGGTTTCTGGAGGGATCTAATGTTGTGTGCCTTTTGGACGCTATAATAGATTTGTGCTATTTTTAGTCCGATCTTTTTGCCTACCCGTCGATGATTTCGATGAAGACGGGGCTGTCCTGCTGTCCCTCTACACGAATAATATCCTAGACACAGCTGGTCCAGTCGACGCTGTACTCAGAGCGAGTCGCGGAGTATGGAAAGGCAGTCTAAGACAATGGGCGCGAGTAGGCGCGATGCCGAAGCACGGCAGCAGTCGGTGGGTCGGGGCGGATCAAGCGATCATCCATTCCGATCATGCCGGGCGCCCGGCAAACTTCGCAGCGGCAACAGGAGAAGTAGCTCATAAACGAGGCACACGAGCCTTGTCTCCTGGTATATATCTCCCCTCTCTCTATGTCTCTACACACACTCCTTCTATGACCCCCTCCTCTTACCTGCCTCTCCCGACAGCGATGCGCGGCAGCAGGTCGTCGCTGACCCTAGGTTGGCGACGGCGCACGAGCTGCATTCTCCTCGTGGCCGTCGCAGTCTTTCTTTTATTCGAATACGCTTCCTACCGCACAGGCGACACAGATACAGATGATCTCCAAAACAGCAATGCATCGGTCGACCCGACATTAGACTCCATATATTTACCCTTCCGGCCGCCGAAGCAGGGTCCTTTGCGGCGGAAGCTCAGGCCGTCGCTATCACTTCCGGCAGCATGTTTAGACGCGCACTTGTCGAAAGGACAGCTGTGCTATAATCCTACCGAACCCAGGTTCGATGTTCTCTGGACATGGGTCAACGGCTCGGATGCTTGCTTCAGGACGCGAAGACTCGTGTCCAAGCGAGCCTCGCGAAAGACGACATAAGGCAGCCCACCTCTTCTGGTGGGAGGGGAGGTCGACAATTTCGGTACGTTCGCGAACATTTTTTTTGGGCGGAATGGCAGCACTCATCTTTGCCCTGCAACAGCGATCACGACGAGCTGCGCTATTCGCTGCGCAGCGTCCTGTCTAATTTCAGGCCGTATCTCGGCAGATATCATCTGCTCACTACCGACTTTGCCATGCCCGACACTGTCGAGAATTTGACGGCGCCAGCCGACTATCGACTGGGCCAAGTACCACAGTGGCTCGACGTGGACAAGAGACCCTGGTCGGACAACCATGTCCAGCTGTCCATCAAGCATCACGCTCAGGTGTTCCATCCCTACGACGACAATGTGTTTAACAGGTAATATCACTATCTCATAGCGTTCCGCGCGATGCTGAATGAAATATCAGTTATGCGATAGAATCCCAGTTCGGGCATCTTGATGACATTTCGGAGAACTTGTGAGTAATCAGGGTGGCTATGAATATGCTTGATTTTCTGACCGTTTTGATCAGCATCTATATGGTATGTGATTTTCTTCCCGCGCTCTGTCACGGAGCAGACGATTGACCCTGACCACAGAACGATGATTTCTTCCTCTTGAGACGTCTCACGCCACGGTCATTTTACACGTCAGGTGAGATTATCTCTTTCAGGAGTTGTCAGTAAAAGCCATCACGGCTGCCTGAGGTTTTTCGAGCATTGTTACCCAACGTTCGTCTGTCAGCCGCGGTAGAGCTTGATGGGGGTGTCATTGCATATGCACGGCTTCGTACATGCGATGCGTTGCCGTGATATAATTGCTCTTGCACCCGCTGTCCGCGGCGGGATTAGCCAAAACCCAAGTCAACAGAAACTGACGAGCCTTCAGCTTACGGTCCGGTTCTGCGAATGCAGAGCGATCTTTTGGTTGCGCCGACGCAGTATCGGAACAACGTGAAAGGCGAATGGCGGAGCCTCGCTTCCAGCAACCGCTTGCTCAGTACGTCCCCGTGCCCTCTCCCTTTCCGCCACACTGACCCACTGGCTCCAGGCGACCGCTTCGGCGTGCGGCACCGCCCGTACGTGACGCACGAGGCCAAAAGCGCCTCGCTCCCGCTCCTGCACGAGATGTCGCAGATCTGGGAGGCGCAGTTCGCGGCGACGGCGACGCACCCGTTCAGGGAGACGAGGATCGCGCTCGGGAACGCCGACCCGAGCGTCATGTACATGCTCGTGCACTTCACCATCGAGCGCTGGCGCGAGGCGCTCCTCTGGTCGTGGGCCGTCGCGAAGCACGGGACCACCACCGACAGGTGGTCGCCCGAGGCCATGGCGGCCGCCTGGACGGAACTCGGCGGCGCGCCCGGCGAGTACGGCAGGCTGGGCGTGTACGCTGGCCGCCGCGGCACCGTCGACCCCGACCGCGTCTCGGCCAGCTTGCGGGCAAGCGGGCACAAGCAGGCTGACGGGACCGTCTACGATTTTTGTGAGTGCCGGCTGCGGTCTTGCTGTCAAAAAAAAAGGCTGTGCGCGCTGACCGGCGTGCCGCTCCAGCGTCGCTCGACGGCTATCCGTACATAAACTTCAGCCCGTCGGGCGGTCCGAAGCGGAACAAGTGGCCGCGGTACACGCACGACGTCGACGAGAAGGACCTGCTGCAGTGCTCGCTCGACTACGACAAGTGTTTCGTGGACGCGGAGCACAAGCCCTTCACACACGCGAGCGAGGTCTTCAAGAACATCGCCTTCCGGGAGGCGCAATGCGGCGACTGCAGTACGTCTGGCCCCTTCCTGCGCAGTCCTCCCGCATGCTGAATCACCCGTGCAGTCACGCTCGCCCTGCTCAAGGCCAGCGGCGAACTGGGCCTCGAGGCCTTCCTGCCTCCGTCCGACCGCGTCGTCTCGTTCGACGCAGGAGGCTTCGCCCCCGAAGACATCGACCCCGTCGCGCACCTGCCGCTCAACGACCGGTGGGAGGACGGCGAGTTCGCGCTCTCAGACGTGCTGAGGGGCACCAAGCACGCGAACGTCCGCGGGTGGACGCTGCGCCTGCTCGAGCGGTACCGCTTCGTTATTGGTAAGTACCCCGCCCTCCCCCGCTGCCGCGCACAGGTCGCTAACGGGCGGACAACAGGAAGCACCCCCGGGCACTTCGCGATGATCTCCGGGCCGTCGGCGCTCAATGGCATGGTGGCACACCTCAAGAAGAACCCCGACGTCGCGCTGCTGTGCGTGAACGACGACATCACGGTCGACGACGACAAGGTCACCGCGCTCTTCAAGAACTGGGCGAGCGATCACTGGGGTACTCCCGCGCAGTGGGAGCAATGACACCCGTGTTTGCTTTCACCCTTAAGTGGACTCTCTGCATGTGCCGGTCACCCACTCGTTCGGATGGTCGGACACTGCTTCATCTCTGTACTTTTTTTCTGTTTGTTTGTGAGGGCTTTCGGGGACTCTGTTATGTGGCGTCTATATGCTGCCTGCATAATTTTCATACCTACACTCACGTCAAACCAAGGGATCACAGCGGCGCTGTCCAATCGTATATGTATCGTTCATCTAGGCCTACATTTTACACATGTAATTCAGTACAAGCATAAGATACAAACAAAAACAGCTAGTCAGTGTTTTAGAGGGGTGTCCGCTGAACGTTGTTTGCGACGTTTGTGAAGAAGCGTTCTACGACAGACTTGCCGCGGCGCAAGTTGGTGAGAGAAATGCGCTCGTTCGGGAGATGGGCTTGGTCCTGTCAATTGGTGTCCATCAACTTGAATGGCTGAGCAAGGCAAGAAGACAAGTGCTTACCGTACTCTGACCAAGCGGCAGATGCAGTGCATGGCATGAGAACTCTTTCTCCAGGTTTGGTATTGACGGAATGGACTGGAAACGGAGTGGTCAACGATAGGCCGCCAAGAAACGGCGAGGGAAAGACTTACGCCACCCTCACGGATACGGAGCGGCTCGACGCCCCACTCTTCCCGAACGGCGTCTTCAAGAGCAGTGAACCAAAGATCGTCGAGGTTTCCAAGCCACCAGTCCGCCATATGATTGGTGGTAACCTGCCATGGTGCTCAACACAGTTCGAAGGAGGAAATGACTGGTAGTGAACCCACCTCTAGAGTGTTTGGCGACCGCATGTTCGAGAATGTCGTTTGGAGATGGTCTTTCAGTGCCTTCGCAATG